CAGCTCCTCCTGGCGGCGGCCTCTGCAGGCCCACGCTGGACTCAAGTCTCGTCCTCTCCAGGGCTCGCTCCTGCTCCCGGCGGCCCCTGTGGGCCCAACTCGTCGCCCAGTCGGCCTCCGCCGGCCCAGCTCCTGCCTCTCTGCGGCCTCCCCAGCTGCCAGACTTCTTCAGGGCAGCCTCTCCAGGCCGAGCTCCTCCTGCCTGCCACTGGCCTCTTGAGGCCCAGCCCTGCTCACGCCTCTGGGCGGCCTCCTCAGGCCCAGGACTTGACCTCCAGTCGGCCTCGCCAGGCCCAGCCTCCTGCCTCCCGAAGGCCTGCACAGGCCCAGCCTCTGCCTCCCAGTGGACTCTCCACGCCCAGCTCTCTCCTGACTGCGGCCTCCCCAGGCCAGAGCTCCTCCAGCCTTTCGGCAGCTCCGCCGGGCCCCGCTCCTGCCTCCCAGTGGCCTCGTTAGGCCCGGCTCATTCGTCACGGGGAACGGCCTTTCCAGGCCCAGCCTGTGCCTTTCGGCGGCCTCTCCAGGTCCCCAACTTTCTCAGGTCGGCCCCTCCAGGCCTAGTTGCGGCCTCCCGGCCTTCCGTCTAGGACCAGCTCCTCCTGCTCCAGGCTGTGGTCGCAGGCCCAGTCCCGGCCTCACGACAACCTCTTTGAGTTCGGCTCCGGCCCAGCTCCCGCTCCGCGGCCTTTGTAGGCCCCAAACGTCCTGAATCCGGGCCTCACGGTGGCCTCTCCGGGCACGGATCCTGCCCTCCGACGGCGTCTCCACTCCCCAGACTTCCTCCAACCAGCCTCTACAGGCCGAGCTCCTCCTGCTTGCGGCCTCTGCAGGCCCACGCTGGGCTCGAGTCTCGGCCTCTCCAGGGCTCGCTCCTGCTCCCGGCGGCCCCGGCGAGCCGAACTCTTCGCACAGTCGGCCTCCGCCGGCCTATCTCCTGCCTCTCCGCGGCCTCCCCAGCTGCCAGACTTCCTCAGGTCAGCCTCTCCAGGCCCAGCTCCTCCTGCCTGCCACTGGCCTCT